TCTCCCTCTGTCTCTCTCTCCCTCTCTCCCTCTGTCTCTCCCTCTCTCCCGCTGTCTCTCTCTCCCTCTCTCTCTCCCGCTGTCTGTCTCTCCCTCTCTCTCCCTCTGTCTCTCTCTCCCTCTCTCCCTCTGTCTCTCTCTCCCTCTCTCCCTCTGTCTCTCTCTCTCTCCCTCTGTCTCTCTCTCCCTCTCTCCCTCTGTCTCTCCCTCTCTCCCGCTGTCTGTCTCTCCCTCTCTCTCCCTCCCTCTCTCCCTCTCCCTCTGTCTCCCTTTCTCTCCCTCTGTCTCCCTCTCTCCCCCTGTCTCTCCCTCTGTCTCTCCCTCTCTCCCTCTCCCTCTCTGGTAAAGTTAGTGGCTGTGAATTTGCTGCTCAGCGATCAGTTCCTAAATCTTTTTTTTTCGCGGCTCCGAAGAAATGTCGTGGTTTTTGTTTGCTTTGGTGTTGCGAAACCTTCTGTTGCGTAACCCCCGTCTTCCCTCTGTGTCATGGCTGTCCAGCTGCCCACCTTCCGCCACGGGGACGTGGTCCTGAACGAGTCGTACGGCGTCTGCATCTATCTGGAAGTAAGTCAGACAGACCCCAGGAACCCCCCTCCCCCACTCCCCCCCCCCCCCCTCTCCCCCCCTCCCCCCTCCCCCCTCCCCCCCTCTCTCCCCCCTCCCCCACTCCCGCCCCTTCCTCCCACCTCTCCCCCGCTCCCCCCCCTCTCCCCCGCTCCCCCCCTCTCCCCCGCTCCCACCTCTCCCCCGCTCCCCCCCCTTCCCCGCGCCTCCCCCCCAATCGTCGTGTTGTTTTCAGACTGGAATCGGGACCCCGAGTGAAATGCCATTCCTGGCAGTGCAGAACCTGCAGTTTGTCACTGAGTTTATGGCCACTACTCCGTTCCTTGCCACCCGAGCGCTCTGGGACGCTATCCTGCGCGAGGTGACGGGCGCAGTGTGAATGCAAGTTGTTGTCGTCTGTGTTTTCTCGCGCCCTGCCACTCTCTTCTGCCCCGCTGGCTCCCGCTCCCACATCCCCACTCACAACCACTTGCACCTCTTAACCCAGTGTGAGTGGGCAATGGCTTATTCCCAGCAATACCTGTCTGTTTTTCCTTCTGGCAGAATCAGTTCAAATCCCAGGGCGCTGAGCTCATCCCCAGCTGCCCAACTGAACAGGCTGGTGTTTTGCAGAGGATGTTTGAGGTCCAGACTCTGCAGGAGAAGATGGGTAAGTCCAAAGGCGGCCACTCAATGCACTCAGCCCAATGGTCTCCTCCTAATACCACAACAGCTTGCACATACAATACACATTTATGTTTATAGCACCTTTCTCTTCAGGGGGATGTCCAGAGGTGCTAGTCAGGCTAAATCTCTGCCTATCCCACCTATCTCGACTCTCTACCCCCTCCTCGCACCCTCCCTTCCCTCCCCTCACCCCGACCATTTCCCCCCTGCTCGGGTCCCGACCCAACTGTCCAGCGCCTTGGGACGTCCTCCCGACGTGAAAGGCGCTCTATAAATGCAATCTTCTTGCTGTTCTAACCATCCCTATCATTCCACCTCTCTGCTTTCTGGGGCCGGGCAGTACATATCTTCTCAACTCTCTGTGTGAGGAAATACTTCCTGACCTCAACTATAACTGGGTGTAAGGTGCTGTCCCTTGTAATGACCATCCACTGTCTAACCTATCAATTACCTATCGTCATTTTACACACCTCAATCAAAAGAGGGGTGGGGGGAGGTTGGGTGAAGAGAGAGAGCAGCGAAGGGTGCATTAAATGTCAAGGTGGGAGATATCGCTCTTCTGTGGGGGAAGAGTCACATTCTGCAGAAACTAGAGTCATGTCTGTTAAAGCACCTTCCTTCAGAGCTCATTTGATGCGTTTCATGCATTCTTTCCACAGAGCTTGCACCATGTGCCTTTTCATGAACCTACTCAAGACATTTCATCTCTTGAGGAAAGGCTCTTTTGTCCCTCAAGGCAAACTGAACGAATCTCAGGAATGTCTGTCCTTGAAAGTGAATTGCCTCCTCTAGGGTGTACTTTTTCTTCAATGGAAGAAACATTTAGTTTGGGGGGTGGGAGGTGTGCAGCTTTTACACTTTAGAAAGTTGTATCACTTCTCCTCAAGTCTTTTTGCTAATTCAATTGCTAAAGGATGAAGAAGGCCATTGGTCTATTTGATCTTTTCCTTCCAGAATGCCCATTATCATTTTCCTCAAACAGCATCGAATGGGTTCTTAAATTAATCCATTCAATGTGATAAATGTCAAATTTAAAATTTGCCCCTATTTCTCTTTCAAGGTACTAATCTGAACATTGCGTATAGCTGTATGATGCTGGATATGAATGATAAAAGGACGAAGCAATCCCCATTGATCTTATATTTTGAAAATACCGGACTTGTCACTAAAGTATGAATTCAGTGCCTTGGCTTCGACCAGTCTCTTTTGTAACCTATCCAGCAGACGTATTTTACCTTGAGATGCCCGTAAGACAATTGACTTCAGATGCATCTTTGTAAAGCTTCTCAGCAGTGGTTCACTTTCAGTAAGAGGCTGGATGATATTTACAGCTGAACTCTGTTCTATGCTAAATTGTCCAGGTACGGGCACTCTCCTCGCCAGTCATAATCCACATTTAAAATTAAATTGTAGTGTTTGCTTTATAGTCTCCATTCTCCAGCAAACAGTAGCATGAGCTTAGCCATTCTCAATTGGGTAAGTCCCACTGATTGTGATTTAGATGATATAACTCCATATTTCCGTTGAAAATTGAAAAACAACCCCATCCCCACCCTCCTCCTGCCTATCTTTTTTAAAAAAACTAAGACTAAGGCTGACACCCTCTCCCCCCATACTTAATGTTATATTGGGAAGAAAGTTTAGATGCTATAAAAGTGGCCATTTGCTTGGGTTCACAGCAGGATTTTGTAGGTCCAGGTGCTGGGCTACAGATCTGCCCAATACATTGTTCTGTTAAGATACTGCAAAGAGTGTTGATGACTATAATCGTGAGGTTTGGTGTTTGTGAAGCTTGAGAACTGGATCAATGACCGTTTGGTGGAAAGACTCATAATGAACCTTTAGAATAGGAGTAGGTCTGCTCTGCCAAAATTGGCTGCTCTTATTTAGTAAATAACTGATAGCCCACTCTGCCAATCAGATCTGTTTTGGCAAGAGGCAGAGGGGTCGAGCCAATTTGGCCAAATCCTGATGTCACTCTTTCGACCTTCGATCTGCCCCTGGTCTTATTTGTCTGTTTCCTGACTTCTCCTGTAGCTCAGTGGTTAGAGCACTCGCTTTGCAAGTGAGAGACCCGAGTTCAATTCCAGGCAGAGGGCGAACCCTTGGGCAAGTTTCCTTACTCCACACACCTAATAATAATCCCCCCCAAAAAAACAAAACAATAATAAACTGGTCATTTTCAATCCATGACTGTTTGTGGGACATTGCTGTGTGCAATTGGCTGCCATGTTCGCCCACAAATATACAGTCAATTCACTTTACAATATATTCTGTGAAGCGCTTTGGGACGTCTAGAAGATGTGAAAAGCGCTATATGAAATGCAAGGATTATTATTATTAATAATCTTGCTTCTAACTTAACTTGTCAGCCCCTTGGGAGGTCCTCCCAACGTGAAAGGCGCTATACAGATGTAATCTTGCTATTGTTCTCAGTGGACCTCATTCTAAAGACTGGAGCAGTTCATTCCAGGAATACTATGTAGAGAAATGTTTTCTGGTTTCACTTCAAACCAGTTTAACTCTTTATCTTTAAAATAATGTCCCCTTGGATCAATTTAACTCTGATCAGCTTTCAGACTATTGGTTATTATTTCACCGACTCCCATCAGTTCAGCAATGTGCGACCACTTGATTATTGGGGTACAGATTATAATTCCAGAGTATTTGAGAGATGAATATGGAGACGAGTGAGATCAAAGACATGCTCAGATTGAGGGCTACTCCACATAGGTAAGTCCTTATTATAGCAAGTCAATCATTTTTTAATTCTGAAGGATTGCATTATATTTCTCTTGCAGGCATTGTCATCTATTACAAATGGAGGGTTCCAGAGAATGAGCAGCATGACACTGCTGTGGAGCGGAATAAAAAGGCATTGTCTGTGGAGTTGAAGCTCTGGGAAGGATATATGGAAAAGGTAAATACTCATAAACTTGGAAGGCCACAGTGTGACCTATAAATAGTAGAACCCTTGAAAAGGGGGCTTGGGAGGGGGGAGTGCTAGATTGGAGGAGCTCCTGTTAAAGTGATGTGGTCAATGGGATAATATTTAGGGGATGTGTTTAATGGGAAGAGCACCTGTTAAGGGGTGGGTAAATGAAACAAAGCACCTGGAGAAGATGTTGGGGGAAAATGGGGTAAGATGGGGAAAATGGGGAAAAAACAGGTTAAAGGTATTTCTAGTGGTACAGGAACATGAACTAAACTGTTGGTCTTTGAACGTTGGATTTGCCCTTAAGTGGGTGCAGACGGTTTGTCTTGTGTTGTTATCTGTAATATTTGCAGAATGTGCTTGAGTAAAGATACTTCTGTCCCCAGGCATCCCCCGAACCGTACATAATGGGAAAGAATTTCACAATGGCTGATGTAATGCTGTTTCCACAATTGGCCTATGGTGTCCGCTTTGCGTGAGTAACTAGTACTGTTTCCGTTGACCGGCACTCGCCAAAAGGTGCCTTTGTTCTCGTACTCCTGGTATTCACTATTGGCGTTTGAAGTTACCTGAGCTCTCTATCCCTGCATGTAATTCCAATGCCACACTGTGTCTAATCAATATTAGTGGGATTTTAACAAGCACTTGCACTGAACAAAGTAGTCAAATTGTTTGAATGTTGGGATTGTTTTGAAATGTTTGGGATTGTTGCTTAAGGTCATTAATGTCTGATTTTGAAATATTACCAGTCCAGTCTTGAAAAATGAAGAGGTGGAGGAGAAGCTCCAAATGCATTTGATTTCTTTGACCAAGAGTCCAATTGTAGCCTAGTTGGCAAAATGTTAACTGAGCCAATGACTTCAGTGCTGCTTGTGGGTATTGCTGGTGCAGGTTAGCTACATTTACCAACATAACAGCCCCTATATTTAAATGCTACAAAATGATTTGACGTAAAGCAGTGTCTTATTCTCGGATGTCCTGATGCATGGTCTGTGGAATACCTTGATCTTGTTCTCTGCTGTTTAATGTCTGCAGGTTATCACAAGAAAAGTACCCCAAACTGCTGGAATACTACCACCGCTTGGAGAAGCGCCCAAGTATCCAGGCCTCCTGGCCACCCCACTGGAAAGAGAGTGCTCCGACTTCAGACATACTGAAGGACATCTGAGCCTCAAACATATGGAATCTCAAATGCCTGTGTTTTCCCAAACTCTTTCGGTGCTGACCCCTGAAAAATAACTTTCAATGTTTTCCCTTTGTTTTGTTGCTTCCCCCCAAAAAAATCTACAATATTTGTTAATGCCCAGCACTAAGCTTCATGTATGTGATTTTTTAAAAAACCTTTCACACAAAAGGGAAGGATGGATTGCTATTGATTTCCTGCTCCCTAATCCAACTACTTTCAGTCAACATGGGGGAGGTAGGCTGCCCCTGCCTATCCTGATTGGTACTTGCCGTGGTCATCAAGTAAAAGTGAAAAGTCTGCCCATTTTAAAAACTTCATGGTAATTTTAAGGAATTTTTTTTTTCTTTGTTCATTTGTTTTTGACTCGCCCGTTATCCCTGTGGCAAACAAAGCGATCTACATCCATGAGCTCCTCTAACTGCGGTAATGAGATTAGCTGGCTGAAGGGGGAAATGCTCCCAGCCCTGACAACAGATCATTTGAAGTACAATACAAGCTTGTGCCAGTTGTCCATGTCGATCCCTGCCATACTGCAGCACTATTATGGAGCTGATACTAATTGATAGAATGTCTCCTGCCACCTTGTAATACCTTCCTCTCCTTCCCAATTTCAGGTTCCTTTGAATGTTCTCTCATATACTTTGTGCACTGTCTATATGCACCACACTAACCTTTAACCCAAGGGGCTCATCAAACTGCACGTTCTACTCTGGGGACAGTGGCAGGAATTTGGGAAACATTATTTCACTCTGTCCTCACATCTTAGAATTGATAATTTCATACCTATTCACCTATACAATGAGCTATTTGTGTAGAGAGATACAAGTCATTTTACAAAGACAGAGAGAGAGGCTTAAAACCTGCGCGCAGAATTAAACTTTAATTGTTGAAAACAAATTCATCTTGCAGGAACTTGTTTCAATCAATAACACCAAATTTATCTTGGTAGCTGGAACAAGTTTACTACCTAACAATGTGGTGGCCCGTTTTGTGCTGTCTATAACCGACTTGCCATTGAGTACAATTCTTTGAACCAGTGAAATGTGATTATTGGTATAGATCAGATCTGTATGATTTAGACAGTGTTGATTCAAGCTGAATGTTAGATTACTTGAAACTGATTAGTTGAGCCTTCCTCTATATCCCTTGCAGTATGAGAGATGAAGCTGATTAACCTTTCAACCTAGTATTGGCTGATGGGGCTCTGGTACCTTGCAACTTTTAGATATGAAATTCATATTTGCTTTCCTTCTAGTCTGTTCTGTGGTAGCCCAGAGATTTAAAGCCTAAATGAAGTGCAGTGTTGCAGGTAGCTTAGATTGTGCTCCTGGTTTGAATTTCTTTCTGCCCCCGTTGCCAATTTTGTCCCTTCTGCAATCCTGTGCCAGGGAAGGAGGATGGAGAAAGCCTTTATTCTTGAAGTGGAACAGACTTATCTTTGCCCTTCACACTTCCCTACCTTAAATTCCCCAAATGAAATGTTTATTTAATAATGCACTTCTAATCAAACGTTAGTCCACGCTGTGCTTGCCTCATCCAATAGGTAATATTTAAACACAAACCTGATACAGTCCAGTGGAGAGGAGTTTCAGTTTCCATCCTCTGCTCTTCCACTTCCTACTTAATTGTTAATGTAATGCAATGAACCGCCAACAGCTGTCACTGCTGCGTGTTGTGCTTGTTAATATTCAGGCTGAATTACTAACTGGGCTAAACTGCTTGGGGAAGATGAACTAAAGTGGGAAATATGGGGTTTGAAGCTTAATTCCTGAGACCTGCTATAAGAGGAATGTTGACTCTCTGGTCGATTCAGTTTGTGCAGGTAGTGTAACCCTTGATAACTGATGCGAAATAAAAGCCAACCAAAATAACTGACCTAGGCTTGTGACGGGGCCTGTAACTGATGGTGGGCTACGTTTTGCAGAACAGTGGCTGCTCTTGTGCTGCACCCTGCAGGCAAGTCTATTTCTGGCAGACATGTGATTGCTTTTTCATGGTTCTCACTGAGTGGAATGTGCGTAGTTGCTCCTGGTGTTTTTCTATTAACATCAATATTTTGTGCTCTCTTTTATGACATGTACTGGCTATTAAACTTTTAGTGGAATATGTTGGTACCTTTAACACTATTAAACTTATCAATTTGACTGACCATTGGTATATTGCACTGGTATATTTCACTCATCTTGGTTAAATTATACACTGGGAAATATTTGTCTTAGTGTGCTCCATTCCTGAATGTGCTATTATGATAGAGTGTAACTCTACAGTGCGAACTCTGTTCATATCTCACTCGATGTTTATTCTTCATAAGAGTGTCTATGCCTGTTTGTGTCATCTTGACATCAATGATGACTATCCTGACATCCATGTGAGACTTTTCCCAAAAAGCTACTGTAGGAACGGGCTTTTTCTCTCTCCAATTCTCCCAGAGGACTGAAGGCAATTTCAGGCCTGGCTCTCATAACTGCATATGGGATTGAATAAGGGACCGTGTGTTTAGGATACAACAGGTTAGCCAGGGAGGATCCAGGATTTCACTGGGGTTTGAACTGCAGCATTTATTACTGAAATTAAATGTTAAACCGTTCAAGTTAAAATGATTATATTTCAAGTCTAAAAACTTTTAAACGTAAGTGAACTTATTCACAACAGATGCATAATCTGAAGGAAAATATCTCATGTGGGTGTTTTAGAGTAAATTTACCTAGAACTTGATCAACATCTATATTCACATATATTTCACATTGATTTGAATTTCCTGCTGTCTAGTGATGTCGGTGATCCCATGTGAACATCAATACAAGCAGCAGCAGCAAATAAAGTAAAATAAATTTATAACAAATTGGGGGTGGGGTGTTACTCTGCATCAGTTTCTCTGTATCTGTCTCTCTGTCGGAATCACAAAGGCACAAATGACTTGGACAGACACAGGCTCTGCTACAGAGAGAAATGCCCAGAGGATTCATTCAAAAAAAATTCCTGCTGCCTGTATAGGAATCCTGGCATCATTACAGTCCGTGGCAATTTTTTAAAAAAAGCTCTCTCTATCCCGAGCTGCTGTCCCCTCTGTCAGGTACAGACAGAGGCTCTCATGGATGGAGAAAGGCAATTTTTGGGGATAAATTGTTGGAATGGAAATGTGCTCTCTCCCTGGAAGGATGTATCCTGCTTACCTAATTCTGGAAAGTATTAAGAGCAGATTAGCACGAGCCAAGGCTTGGGGACCCCAGAATGAGCACTTGGGTAACTGCTGGAGTCCCCCTCCTCGCTCCTTCCCTCCCCTCACCCTGACCATTTCCCCCTGCTCGGGTCCTGACCCAAATGTCCAGTGCCTTGGGATGTCCTCCAGACGTGAAAGGCGCTCTATAAATGGAATCTTCTTGTTGTTGTTGGAGTCTGACCAGATAATGCCAGCATTAAGGAACCCAACTTCATTAAGAGAATTAGTGAATCAAATACAATGAAGGACACCAATAAAGATAAGTAGTGGGACTTTATTTTTGCACTTCCATTGATCTTTAAACGATCAAAGGGCAAAATTACTTACAGAAGTTTTATGCTTGAGACAAATGTCTTAAAATTAAAATAAATCCAGTACTTTGGTCTGGGGGCGGGGTGGGGGCAGAGCCTGTTGAAGACAATCTGCCTCCCTTCAACCCCTTCTCCACCCCCAGGAAGTATGTTATGTTTACGCCCCTGCGATTTCTCCACCCCCTGCCCTCTCCATCAGCCAGAGCCAGTGGGGAGGGCAGGAGGCGGTGACGGGGAGTCCAATGAGAGCCTGAACTCACTAGTTTTAAATATTGCAAAAAGATGTGGTTTCCGGATTGCGATTTTTTTTACACACAGCCTTAGCTAGAGCGGCCCCTGCCCCATTTCTGTCCCCGATCCACACCTGATCTTATCACAACAGAGGAAAGATTAATTAGCTTCGTAACTATTAACAATGAATAGAATGTGAAAATGCTCTTTATCTCTTAAACTGCCTTTCATCTCTTTCATCATCCCTTTCACTTTGGGTCAAAGTTCTGACGAATCATAAACACTTTAATCATAAACACTTCAAAGATGGTAATCTATTCTGGAGGCGTGTATTAAGGCTAACCACGGCTAATCTGATGCCTGCATTCATGCATTCATGCATGCAGTTGATCTGGGGGTGTAAAATGTGCTTGCAAGCACACAGCTTTTTAAATCCCACATTGCTAAACATACCCCGACAGAAATGTACAAATGTGTGACTTGACCAGTTTCAAGAAGCTGTCTTATGATTAAACAGGAAACCACAACTTTTTTTTAAAATGCACACACGGTTTCTCGATGCTAGTGTGGTTTTGTACTGGGTGTAATGGAAAATTTATTGTGAGCTGCCTTTATCTGCTCATGTTGAGTACCTAAAGTTGGTTACTGACTGAATTGGCTAAATTTGAGGTTTTGACTCACAGTAAATAATTCAGTTCAAATTGTAATGACATTTGAATACATCGTTTCACTATTACGCATCTTACCCTGGTCCGAAGAAACAGATGTGTAATTCTCCAGGAAGACTAGTTGGTCAATGAGTAAACTAGAACCTGACTTTGTAGGTTTAGTGATCTGGCTTTTGAAACGTTGAACTAAGATCATTTTTAATAATCTTGCATTTTGATGCAGCACCTTGTTCAGACATCTCACAGTGCTTCACAGTGTTTCACTTCAGGGTTTCACTGTGAAGGTTGTGACTGTTTAAACATAGCAGACAACTTTCTCCAGCTGTGTTCCACAAATAACAACTTGCATTTATTACAAGCTTCTGACTCAGAAGTGATTGCTACCAATTTAGCCAGACTCACACCTCTGTGAATGCATTTTGTCATAATTATTTACAACTTCATCTATTAAGTAGCAAGATTTTCCCTTTTCATACATTATATATAATAATCCCTCCAAAACCAAAAAAAATAAAAATTGGTCATTTTCAATCTACGACTGTTTGTGGGACGTTGCTGTGCGCAATTGGCTGCCGCGTTCGCCCACAAATATACAGTCAATTCACTTTACAGTGTGTTCTTGTGAAGTGCTTTGGGACGTCCTCCCGACGTGAAAAGCGCTATATCAAATGTAAGGATTATTATTATTATTTGGAGTCCTGTAGCTCAGTGGTTAGTGCACTCACCTCACAAGCGAGAGGACCTGGGTTAGATTGCTGGGCAGGGTGAAATGTTAGGTACACTCCCTTATCCCACAGGCCTCTGTTTACCTCGCAGCAAGTAGGAGCCTGGTTGTTAGTCAATTGGCAGATCACTTTTCTGGGGGTAATAATCCCTTCAAAATAATAATAATAATTTGTCACTCAATCATGACTGTTTGTGAGACATTGTTGTGTGCAGTTGGCTACTGCCTTTCTTCCACAGGCGATACAGTCAATTCACTTTAAAGTATATTCTGTGAAGCACTTTGAGATGTCTAGAAGACATGAAAAGTGCTACATCAAATGCAAGGGTTATTATTTTATATTCTGTGAAGTGCTTTGGGACGTCTCGAAGATGTGGTAAAGCACCGTCTCAAATGCAAGGATTATTACCATTATTATTTTCATCCTCACTCTCTTGTGGTTTTGAGTGCTCAACCCACATGAAAGGTGCCATATAAATGCAAATTGTTGTTGAGGAGAGTGTATAAGGTTGAGATTAAAAGAGCCGCTCTTGATGTGGGCTTGTTTTAAATCTATATTTTGTTTACTGTACTTTGAGACACACCCCTACACCCACCAGCGTGGGCGTAGTCAGCGGTGTGAAGCACTTCAGAAATGTGCCTATCATGAAAGTTACTATATGAATGTAAATTGTGGTTGCTTTTCCCCAAATAATGCCATTCCCGTGCAGATTGACAAAGAATCAACAGATGGCGCTACAACACCGTGAAACAACTTGGTAAAAGAAGCTGGAGGCCATTCTACACACAGTGCAAAGCTTTACAAGTTTCCTAAACAAGAACCATAGAAATCGTGTTAATTTCCAGGATGTAGCATACAGAGCACCATGGCTCAAAAGTCATCTTTCTTTCTCTTTCGAAGTTTCTACGATTCTGGAGAAGATGCCCGGCCTACAATGGGTTAATTATTTATTTTTGGACGCAGAGATAATCAGGCTCACCGAGACAGGATGACCAAAACAGAAGTTGCTGGGAACACTCAGCAGGTCAGGCAGCATCTATGGAGAAAGGAAAGTGAGTCAATGTTTTGGGTCCACGACCCTTCCAGTTCTGACGAAGGGTCGTGGACCCGAAACGTTGACTCACTTTCCTTTCTCCAGAGATGATGCCTGACCTGCTGAGTGTTCCCAGCGACTTCTGTTTTTGCTTTCAGATTTCCAGCATCTGCAGTATTTTGTGTTTTGGTCACAGAGACAAGACGTTTCATTAAGAAAGCTTTATATATCAATGTGCATGATGCAGAAAGGCATAGTTCCCAATCTGAGCAGCAGAAGAAGTAGTTACACAAGTTTTATGTTTATGTTTTCTGCTTTATCATTTTTTCCTTGGTCTTCATTTCTTTTCTCTTTATTTGCTAGATTTGGTTTCAATCCCGGGTCTGTTCCAAAAAGCAGCAGCTATACCAGCTCTGTTGATAATCTAACTTGTTTATTGCATTGGTTCACACATAGACACCAATTTTTNGACTTATTTCTCACACAACAAAGACCATTTATTTATATACATTCCTTTTCCCACAGAACTGCACCAGACAGAGCAAGGATATTAAGGAAAAGACAGACATCATTCGTTTCTAGTAAGATTACAAAAAATATGCTAGCACAATCATTCGCAAAATTTCACTTAAAGGTACAGCAGTATAAATTTTCAGTCATTTTCCCTTTTAGTCAAAATGCATAGCAATACAACAGCACACAAGTCAACTTAACAAAGCTTCACCAATCTATAGTACTACAAATTTATGTTTAATCCTGGCAAAGCTTAGCAACAGTATATATGCATCATTTTTATGTCAAGAACAGCTGATCCATAATGTTTCACAACAAAAGAAAGGCTCAAACCTAGAGAAGAAAAAACAATTAATATGCAGCTAAAATACTTGCACTTTGTATCCGTGTAATTTCAGAAATATACCATAACCCTGAGAAACATCACTGACACCTAATACAAGAAATT